TTTGGTGTCATCTTTTCTTGACAAGATATTTTCTGGGACTCAGAAAGGTGAAATTTCTTACCAGGGTGCAAAATTAATGACTAGAAGAACTGCATTGTCACAGGTATCACAAAGTGTTTTTAAAAAGCCAAAAGGGATTTAATCTTATAGACATTTCCTGTTAGTGAATAAAGAGATTTAGTAGATTTTGGACATGTGAGAGGAAAAAAGACACAAGCTTGTGTTAAATTTTGTTATACTGCTTCCCTATTTCTCCTATTTATATTATTCTCTGGAACACTAGTTCCTGTATGATGCTAAAATTAAAACACCATTAAAAATGCAAGCAGAATGGTAATGCATACGTGTGCAAGCATGTACACACAAAACTCCAACTTAAATCGATTCCTGGGTATACAGCAAATTATACAGTATATACACATTTATTACCTAATAATTCCTAGGAGAGCAATTGAAAGTAAATTTTATAACACAGAAAAATAAATATACACCCTGTATTGTACTTGTCCTTGATCAAGCAACATGTTTATACACTAGTTTCTATAACTTACCGCTGTGTAACAGCATTTTAGAATTACAGAAGAAGATATCTATTAAGAAATTATCTAACCATATTGCTCTTCAATAAACTTATGTAGACAATTAAGACGAAGTAAACTTCAATAAATTGCAGCTTTTGTTAGCCCACAAATGGCTATAAAAGTTTTCCTTTCAAGTAGATTCTTGGAAGTTTTGAAAGGGGCTGCCTTAATTCAGTCTATAAAGGTGCCGTGTATAGCTATATATTCCATGTATAAAATTTTTAGAAGTAGAGGGAATGATTTTGTTGCTGTAACATAACATTTAACCTTGTGTTGTTATTCCATGTAGATTATATTTGCTTCATAAAAAATGAAGACACTGAGAGAAAGATAAGGAGATTTTAGTAAAACACTGATTACAAATTCTGTGGCTGAAAAAATGCTTTCATAAAGTTTAGAAATCATTGTTTTCCCTTTTTTTTTTTTGTTAAAATAAATCTCAGGGCTTGTTTACAAAGTGCAGAATTATTCACTTGACAAAGTGATATTAAAATGAAGTTACAATGGCACCATCCCGTTTACCAGCTGCACCTTCATTTCTTGAAGGCTGTTCATGATCTTCTTCTGGTGACCGACAAGAGTCACTCCAAGCCGTCTCAAATCCCTGCACGAAGAAAGCACACATTGGATGTATGTATTGATTCAATTTGTAGCACACCTCAATATTTTATGCTGGCAAAGAGGCGAACATTTTGCAGAAACTAATTGAGATACGGTCTCAATTTAGACAAACAGGGTTCAATTTTCAAATGCAGTCTCCAAAATTATACCTTGAAAATCAAGGAATTATTTATAATGAAAGTAATATAATATATATTTGCCCCTTTTTGGATATCATTACTTTGGTGGCACAGAATGATGAAAAAACAAATTTGCACATGGTTATCAAGAAATATGTAAATTAAAGGGTACAATTTTATTGAATAGTTTTGAAATGTGGACCTACAATATAAACATGCATTTTTTTTGACTAAAAGCAATTGAAGACTAAACTCTTTAAATGATTCAGTCACTACATTTAATACAACATATATCTTTAGAGAATAATCACTACTACATTGCTCTTATAAGCCTTCCTAATATTTTAGTTTTTAGTTGGAACCCAAAGTACCAAAGCTTGCTTTCTTTGCCAAGTAAAGTCTAGGTTCTGTTGGTATTTAGGGCATTCTGGAAGTCTTTTTTTACATGGTATCAGAAAGTCTTTTCAACCAAGATACTTTCATACCATTTCTTTTAAATAGCTTATTATTCAAAAGAAAATTACAAATGTTTAGATTTCAAAACTAACAGTATATTATGGAGTTCATGGTCAGTGCCCATGATTTTAAAATATTGTTTTAAAGGATATTCAGGAATTCTATACCCTTAAAGTATTTAGCAAGTATAATGATTCAGGTATGTTTAGCCAGTGCTAACATTAATTATAGGAAAAAAAATTACCATAAACAATTCAACATTTTAAAATGACAAAGCCACCATGTTAGATTTCTTTAATTGCTTTATTAAACACATTATGCTGAAAGTAGAATATTTTTGCATTCAGTAAATGTATTGATTTCAAATTGTCTTAGAATTTTATAGAATTGGACACAAAGATATTACAATCATTATAACTAAAATTGAATAGTTTTGGAAACTTAAAGATGTCTATTATCAGAGAATAGAATTTAAATAAATGATACTTAAGCTCTCTATGTATTAGCATTGCAAATAATTGCTTATATATTTATAAGTTTCTCTCTCTTTATTTTTAAAAAATTTCTTATAAGAGATTTAGCAAATGGCAAGTAGCTAAAAAAGAAACAATTGATATTTATGGTGAAAACTATTTCTTTCTTAGAATGTGAATATTAAACATTAAACTTAGAAATTATCATAGCTACGAGAAACCAAAGTACAATATAAAAATAATAATAATTGTAGGTATGGAAGACAATCATCAGCAAAACTTAAAAACTAATAAAAATTCACTTTGAAAAAATTATTATTGCTAGTTATGAAATAGAATATAAAATAGTCACACTAACAAAGGAATAAAAAGGCTTAAGTTAAATTCATCTCTTTTCAACTAAATCAGTTTCTCAACCTTGCCCCTATTTACATTATAGGATGAATAGTACTTTGTTGTAGGGGCTTTCTTATGCATTGTAGAATATCTAGCAGCATCCCTGGACTCTACCCACTAAATACCGGAAGTGCTGTACCACCTCTGGCCATTTTTTGTGACAACACAAAATATCTCCGAACATTGCCAAATGTCCAGTGAGTTGCAAAATCTCCTCTGGTTGAGAATCATTTCACTAAATATAAAAAATCATAAGTAACAATTAAGATGTTCTATTTCTATATGTTGTAAAAATCTAAAACCTTATGATATAGGTTTTTGTTAATTTCCTTTTATGGATGAGGAAATAGTCTTAAAGGACTTAAATTAGTTGGCTAGATAACACAGACAGTAGATAACAGAGTTAGCACTGAAAAGAAGAATCTGGCACCAAAGTCCATATTCTTTTAATTTCTTATTACTCTGAGATATGATTCTGAGCAAAATATTTCATATTATTGCAATTATTTATTCATCTGTAAAATGAGAACTCTGTAGATATAACATAGAATATCCAAAATTCTAAAAGAAAGAAGATAATGAAGGAAACCGAACACATACTTCTTTGACTGAGGCTCTGGTAACTTCATCTATTATTCATGAATATTTTAGTTATGAGCTAATTAATATTCTCCTATTTCCATCTGTGAATTATGAATTATGAATTACGAAGAATTGTATAAATGTAGGAATTAATGGGTGCTCACTAGCGAGAAAAACGGGACTAAAATTTCCTAACCTAAAACAATCTCTACTAGAGAATTTAAATAATTAATAATTTAAGGAGTTTTAAAACATATGTTTTATCATATGCTTTATAAAACCATAGGTGATACAGACAAACCCAGGTTTGAAAGTGCTGATGTAATATATAATGTACTTAAATTGCACAATTCATATGGGTAATTCAATTATTAGAAAAGATATTTTTAAAATAACCATTATGGTTTATTCTGAAAGACCTAAAAGAAAAAGAATTAATAAATTTTCCCTCTCAAACAGCATGGACTTTGTACATACAGTACCAAAACCTTAATTTGAAGTGTGTGTGTGTATGTGTCTGCGTGTGTGTGTGTGTATGCATTCCATATTGCAAATCTTGATAGTTTTGTCTAACTTATATCAAATCACTGGTTAGACTTATTTTTTATTTCCACTCTCTTAACTTATTGTTAAATTATATGTAAATATAACTTCTGAAAACAACTTGATCACTAAAAAACTCTGGTTCAGTGCTTTGTAATGATATTACAAATGAGAATTAAAATGGTATTAGGAAAATGTTTCTCGTAGAAGTTAAACAACTATTCCAACACTGGTAAATGCATTAAAGTACTTTCTTTTAGGTAGTTTTGTCTCACATATTTGTAATTTCTAACAGTTCCCATTTTACTCCTTAAAGTATACATTAAATGATCAATTTAGCAGTAATAATGTGAGAAAAGTTTAACAAAAATTAAAGCATTTTACATTTAATGAGGAAATTACTGCTCTATTTATAACAATTTTTGAAAAAAACATTTGGAAATAATGCAATATATACTATTTTCTTCATTTCATTTTTTATATAGGAAATTTATAGTTAGGCAGTTTTATGTGTATTATACCTATTATATCATGACCACATGTAACCTTAAGTAATACCTAAAGCCAATTCTAATGATAAAAACTATATTTCAACATAAGCTTATAAATTTAAACACGATGAAAATAATATTGTAGCATAAAAAAAAGTTTGGATTTTATCAACAAAGCATGATTAGTTTTAGAAAAGCTATAAATATAATGAATTGTCATTGCTCTGATTACCTTCCAGCATTTTTTTCAAATGTTATTCCATAATATTAAATAATAGAAAACACTAATATGATACTAAAATGGTAGAATAAAAAATAAAGATTAATAAGACGTGTCTAATTGACCTTGGAACAACTCTTGATTATTCAGGATTTAGTTCATCCATTTGTGGATGAGTCATATCCTTGCTCATTCTTCTCCCTTCTGCTTTACATACATTTTAGCCATTTCACTGGTACTTAGTCCCACTTGGCTAAATAGGAGAAGGGAGAAGAGAGATTAATGAATATTCACTAAATATTAGTGTTTATTATTATTTTTTTTAATCATTGTTTAGTCACACAGTTGCACATTTGAAAATTTGGGGTTCATTTAAAAGAAAATTGTTAATCATTTATATATCTACTGTACAGATAAATATATTTACATTTGACAAGAGAGGATTAACCATGGCCTGGTCATGATTTTCAATGGCTGATATATTGTGAATGCAAGACTAAAAGTTTTAGCTTAATTATGTAGAACAAAGAGGATAGTAAGTACTCCTATGTGTACTTTAACTGTATAATAAATTATGCATAATGACTATATTGATGAGGAATCTATTTGAATTAGTGTGCACAAATTTTAGCTTTGGATTTGGGAAACTTTCATTTTAGTAGTTTATGACTCCATTTTAATAAAGAGGGTCCTGATTCTAACAGGACTCTCTTCAGCTTATACAAAATTAGTATAATATTTAAATTCATTAGATTGTGCTCATTTTCTGAATAATCAAAATTTGACAATACAGATCTGACAAGAGGTTTAAAAAAAGCAGCTACAATACTGTCCTAAACTCAAATCTTTGGATTCACTTTGCAACTCAATTCAAGCTCACACTTCCCCTGGTCAACAATAACTCATTGCATTCACACATTATAATACAGTTTGTGTCATTACTGCCACAACAATGATTCTAATGTGAGTACTTTATATAGAATAGCAAGGTTTAGGCACAGAGAACAGAAAACAGAAATGTCTAGGGTTGAAAGTCTCTTTTTTTTTTAAACATTTTTGACTCTAAAATCTCCAAGTTTTTTCATTTCCTTGCCATATTAAGCCATATATGCATATGCTGGCAAAAATAAATCATAAATAAAATTAAACCTTTATGAAGGAATTTTCTTTACCTATGTAGTTCTGAAAAGTTGTAATTCTTTATTCCTCCTTTTCTAAACCCACTATAAGAACTAATTTTATGGCAAAAATTAAAACATATTTTTCTAATTTAAGTATACAGCAGTTGGATCTTTTGCTTTATATTAATGATTTTAACATTTTTTCTAAGCATTTATCACAGATATGAATGTATTTTTCCAGTTCTAAGTTTCTATTATGCCTTGGCAATAACACTGGTGAGAATATTTAATTATTTTATTATAATGTTATACAGCCTGCATAAAATTAATATTTAGACATGGGTAAAGACCATGTGTAAAAAAATCATTATCGAAGCATTTTAAGAATTTGTTTTTGTTTTAGCTGATATCCTAGTTCTTCTGCCATACGTCCTTAATATGACTTATTTTGGTGAAGTGAAGGGCAACAAAATGCACAGATAAATTTTTCTTATACTCTATATTTCTGACCAAACAGTAACTGATTATTCACCGTTCTGTGAGTTAACATAATGTTTTGATAAATATATTCTTACTAAATAGGTAGAACGTGGTCAAAACCACAATAAACAAGAAGACACATATTTAGAGGTGCTGGACTTTCCAAGAAATCAACTTCACTGGAGTTAATGTTTGCTGACCCTAGTAAGGAACGTGTTTCTATGGGCCCCAGGAATCTGAAGCAATTGACACATGGAGATCAACATACTCTGAACAGGAAGATGTCAATATGTCTCCTAATTTCACCTTACTCTTTTGGTCAGAGTAAATGATTTAAAAGACAAAATATCTGAAAGGAGGCACTATAGCGACAGGCAAGAAGCTACTAAAGTAACAGAGAGAGAATGAAGAAATTGAGACAAGTAGAGAAAAACCTGATCAAAGATTGCTGGAGAAAAGAAATGAAGTGGAGAGCCATTATAAGAAGATAGAAGAAGCTATTAGGGCTTGAAAGAAATGTACAAAATAAAGAGAGTTTGGAGATAGAGTGGCAGATAGGAAAGTAAAGAGGAAAGAATTAAAAGAAATACGAAAATGCCAAACCAGAATGCTAAATATTAACATACTTATAGTCTTTTGGGCCCCAATAAGATAAAGTAAAACACATAGTTAATGCAAAAATCATTATTTATGTGGTTATAACTATTCTGTAAAAGAAGAAGCAAAAGAGTAGTAAATTTAAATATATATGTATATGTGCTATTTTAATAAAAAAAGAGACATTGTTTAATGCAAATAATTTTATTATATATTTACAAGTAATCTGACATTGGGTAGAAGAAATACCTACAGTATCATTTTAATATAAAATGACAAATGACTTTAATAAATTAAAATGACCATTTTTATTGAAAAATTAAATAGCAATCATGTAAAAATAGTTTTAAATTATCATTAAAATTTTCTGTTGACTATTTTAAATATAGCACAAATGAGTTCTTTGAGTGACAAAAGAAATAATGGGCCAAACAAATGTGTCTTCAAATAAATATGATTTGGTGGTGATAGGAAAATGAGATTCAGTAAATTATGAAAGCAAGTCGAGTAATGATTTTATGTCCTTTTAGTTATAGGTATGAAGAAATAGAAATGTTAAGAATGTGACATTAACTGGTGATAAATGATGGTACCCTGTTACCTTTTGTGTGGATGAGCAGTGAATTCAATGAATCAAAAAATACCGGAATAATACAAACGGTGAGAGAAAACTATTCAATGCTTATATTATGTAAAATAATGAAATAAGGTTGGTGGCTTACTGCTTCAAAATGTTCTACTTTGTTCTGATCTTTCCAACAATATTTTAACCTTTGAATTTGTAGGTAATTTGAAGTAAGTTATCTTTATATTCACAGGTTAAAACATTCATATTAATGTAATCTAGATGGAACCACCATAACGACAATTTTCACAAATAGCAAATATTAGGCTAAAATAATTACATACAGAGTATATAATAAAATACAAACAACTTACAACCTTAAAGAATTTAATATTTAACTCTAGTGATTTTTATTTAATAAGATTTGTTAAATTTTATCATAGACGTGCAAACAGAAAAGGGCACAATTGGTTCCACTGAGATTGTACCAAATAACAAATCAGAGACAGGATCTAAAATATCCTTGGATTGCAAGGATATGAGGTGCACCACTTAGAGATTAAATGAGATTCCTGCCTGTGAAGCTTTTTTTAAGCTGCTGTTTCCTGGGTATTCATTATAGCCAAAATTTAAGAATATGTTTTGTGTTATGTAAGACTAGTCACACCAATTGTGCTTACAGTTTGTTTTATATTTACATTCATATAACATAGGAACCAGTATAAAAACTTTGTCAAGAAAACATCTTTTCCACAACATAAAATACCAGTATTTTGCCAAAGAGCTTTTATTCCAATTATTCAAATATATAAATGTTATCTGAAGCAAAGAAGCAAAGATACTGGCCACAAGTAGCATTAACCATGCAATTGTTAACAATACAGGCTAAAAAAGACTTCTTTGAAAGTTGCCACATATGGACAAAGGTTAATTGATTTCCCTTGACCTCATCCAGATTGGTTTCTGAATAAGTTTTGTTGCCCCAGCAATTATGTAAAAATTATCAGAAAAATTACTCACTCCAAGGTCACCTGAGCGACAGCGTCCATTGAACTGTATCCATTTTCCATGAAAATCTCTGTATACCGGCCCATTTTGATTGCTTCTAGCCATTCACCTACTGATCTGTAGGCCCCAGATCCCAGTGAGCTGTGTTCTGCCAATAAATTAGATACTCTAAAACACATAAAACATAAATATTAAATGTAACATTTTAACTCTTTTATAATAAAATACATTGTAATGTTAGCTCACAGTCAATGGATGTGTAAGTATACAGATCTATATATTTTGGGTCTATAAGTATATTTATAGAGGAAAACATACCGATGCTAACATAGAAATGTTTTGAAATACGGAACACAAAATCAGTCTATTCAGATTTTTTTTCTATCAGTAATTAATGATGACTTATCATGGTTGAAGATATAAGATAAGCTATAGGAAAAATGCCTGTCTTTTTACTCATGTTCTCTGCATGTTCTCACATCCCATTTATACGTCAACCAACTCCAGTGTAGTTTCTTCCAAACTGATTCTATAGAAATTGCTCTGGTTTAGGTGAGCAATGAACTTTATTTTGCCAAAATCTGTAAACATTTTCTAATCTGTAAGACAACTGACCTTTCGGAAACATTCAACAACCTTCACTACCATCTCTCTCTTAAAATCCTACCTTGTTTCAGCTTTTTTGTTTAAATCACTATTCTCTCTTCCTTGGCTATGATGTCATTGAAAGTCTCTGGTATCTCCTTAATCTACTTTGCCTATTATTCCTTCTTTTCCTGACTTTAAAATCTGGAGAGAACCAGAACTTGTCCCTATATCATCTCTGCTCAGGTTGTAACTCCACTTTAGATTATCTCACCTACTTTATGTTTCACATAGCATCTATTTTTCACTAATTTTTATCCCTAGCCTTGGTCTGTCATACATTCATGTCTACTTTATGCCTCCATATTTCTCATAATACCATCACCTTAACATTTCCAAAATCACACTCCTCATCTTCTTCACATCCAATTCCTCCTGAAGTACTTTCATTATACTATTTGATACAAGTGTCCGCTCCTTCCTTAACCTTCATCTCCTCACAATCTACCATTGTGTGTACTATTACTACCCATTCTACCTCCAATAGATCGCACATCTGACCACTTTTCTCTATCTCATTTGTTACCACCTTAGTTCAAGATGTCATCATGTCTTACCTGCACAACTACTCTAGTTTCCCAGTTATCCTCCTAAACGATACTCTCATTTTCCACTCCCAAACCCAAACTGTTCTTTAATGTTTTTATTTTGTTTGATATTGACACCAACATGTGTTGCTCAGTGCTGTATACTCAGCACCTAACCCACAGCATGATGCAGAGTAGACATATAAATATCTGTTGGATGAATAAATGAATGTCTTGTAGTGACTGGAAGCCATTAAGCAGTGGGGTCAAAGATTTATTGAAGATGAAATATAAGAGCAAACAGTTAGAGAGTAAAATCTTGAAGTTGAGATTGTAGAAGAGTTGTTATTTTCGATAATAGAAAAGTCTAGAATATGATTATGAGAAGACTCTAAGGTAGTCTTTTTTTAGAGAAAAAAATTACTAAAGGAGATAAGTTCAAGTTGTTAAGAGATATTTGAACATCATCTACATAATTACTGAAATCACTGAGTTTTGTGACATTGGTAGGAACAGAGAGAAAGAAACAATGAATCAGAAACGAACACATTCTAGAATCAGGATTTGTAGATGACTGAACAAACACGGGTAATGAGTGGTATAGTATTGAGCCAAATCTGTTTAAACAAAACCTAGCAAGCTGATTCTATATATTACACACAAGGCAATATGAAAATTCTTTGGAGAGTTTAAAACTATCTTCAAGCTATAATGATAATATAAATTAACAGAATTTAGAACATAAATATCTTTTTATGATTTCTTTTCTTTAAGTCCATTTGTGACAACTTAACATAATTCAAACAAGTAGATGAAAAAATGAATAATATTTTACATTACAATAAACAATTTAAAAGCAAATATTTCAGGAACAGCATAAGGACTAATCACTAAGAAGATGCATTCTCCAGTTGCTGCCACAGAAAGTTAATGATGCCTGAACAGAGTTTGAAGATTCATTCCTCATTTGTATTTTAAAATGGCTTTTTTATCTAGTGAACAAATGTTATGTCAGATTTATAAAACTTATGTAACTTTATCAACAAATTGTTTTTCATTTAGTTCATGATATTGGTCTGCCAATTCAGTTACTGGCATGACATTTTTTTTCTTGTAAAAATAAACAATTGCCTCAAATATAGTGAAAATAACAATCTGGTAAATTTTCTAGTAGAGATTCAAATTGACTTATTTTTTGAGAAGATAATTCTGTAGTTTTTCAGGTTAAAGATAAAAGTATGCTTTACAAAATGCAACATTATTTAAATACAATCATAAAAGTAAAAAAATGCTTATTTGCTCACATAAATTTTTTCTACAGAATTACTCATTTATCAATTTTATTCAAACTACATAGTACATGATTAGCCAAATATCTGTGTGCAAGTGGGTAAGGGTAAAAGGCCCCTAAAGGGATTGTCAGTACTCATAAAATATGACAGACATTAAGATCTGTTCTAAAGAAATAAAAAATAATATTGTTAGATATCTCTAGTTTAAAATATATCAGTGCTTAGTTGGCTTTTCCTTATAGTCTTATATCTTATTTTTCCCCATCCACACTGGTGCGGAATCCAAAACCCATGAAAATACATGCATTTGAATATTTTTTTATGCTACCTGAACTTAGCTACAGTTAAAAATTTTCTGGAATTGGCATGTTATACTATTAGATTAGGTATAGGTGCTTTTAAGTATAATTTAATCGTTAATATTTCATTCATTGTAAGAGTAACATTATGCAAAAACTATAGTAAATAAATTAGTGTCATATAGATTCATAGGTTAGCATGAATACAAAAATGATTTAATTGACTTAATATTTCTGTCATCAGTCTGAGTTAGCTAAATTCAGAAAAATTTCTCAGGACTGGCCTTGTACCTGCTCGATGCATTAACCAGCGTCTTCAAGCTACTTGGGTTACGTATCAGTTTGTCCAACATGTTGACGATTTCATCAAACTTGGGCCTGCTATTTCGGTCTTTCTGCCAGCAATCCAACATTAATTGGTAGAGAGCAGCAGGACAGTCCATGGGGCTTGGCAGACGGTAGCCTTCCTCTACTGCTTTAATCACCTGTGTAAAGCCAAACAGAACCAGATCCAACACCACAAATTTAGTATAGGATAGCTTGAGAAATTCTCCATTATCCAACGTTCATCCTTCCTTATTCTTACTCTTGCAGTAACAACCAGCATCACAATCTTTAAAATCTCCGATTGCCTCCAGATGCTGGAAACTAAAACAACATAAAGAAATTAATATATTATCACAATAAAAAGACATGCTTTCTTCACATATTATAAAGAAAATAAATGGTAATAATTTTTACCTAAGATCTTGATGAAGGGTGATTTTTAAAATTAAAAATAAACAGTTCATGTTTTATTTATCTTTGCATTCTGGAATCAAATACAAATCAAATCTTCTAGTGATGTCTCTGAAAAGTTAATGTCTTTTAATGAAAAATTATGTGCAGAACTACATGTTTTAAAGTAATAGAACTGTAATTTTACTTCAAAAGAGACTTTTGGATGGTAAATGATGAATAAGTCAAAGGCTAAATTAGCATAACTATTTCATGTATCATTTAATAATGTTTAGGTCTGGCTGTTTATTATTGATCATCTACTGATTTCTGTCAGGAATTTGGAATAATTGTCCAGTATCAGAAGCATTACGAACATTGTTGATTTTAAATGTAACCACATTTATGAGTATTACTTTAATTGTGAGATTTTTTTTATCAAAAACATTTGTAATATTGCTGCTGCCATCAAAATGTCTAACTCCAGAAAAGATCTGTTTATGTTACTGACTATAATAATACAGGTTGTATTCAATTATTAAAAATCAAATGTTTAAGTAATACCAAAAATTAGTAATAATGAGCATATTTCTCAAAATCCAATTATGAATATTTCTTTAACAATTACACTTATCTAAATTTATTCACAAAGCCTTTCAATTTGATCTAATGAATGAAAAAATATATAATGATTAAAATAGGAAATTTACAAAGATAATTTTGAATGACTGGAAAGAAACCAGTCTATGATAAAAAAAAAAAAAAACGGCATCTGAACAAGACCAGTGGCAAATGGAAAGAGTATGGAATAACAGACTTAAGGTGCATTTATGACAAAGGCGTTGAGAGAAGAGGACAGAAAGTATTCACGATAAAAGAAGTTCAGGCTGATCACACTGGATGGTTGTTGCTGTTAATTTTAAACAAGCACATAAATGGGGGTAGATAATATTGGCAGGTATAATTTGGGCCTATTTTATTTGAGGTGAGTGGGAAACACTCATATCACAAACTGCAGAAATCTGGCTAGAGCACAGGAGATATCTGGGCTGATAATATAAATGTAAGAATTATCAGCACATGTGCACAGCCTGAAGTCAGGTATAGGCTGTATCTCCTTAGGAAAGACATAAAATAAAGATTCCTGAGACACATCAATAGTTAAGTTTAGGCAGAGAAATAAAAAGTACTCAAGGACCCTAAAAATAAATGCTTAAATAAATTTTGAATAACTACAAGCAAAATATAGAGGCTCCTCAGCTTATGATGGGGTTACATCCCAATCTATCGTAAATTGAAAATATCGTAAGTCAGCAATGCATTTAATATGCCTACCTTCCCAAACATCATAGCTTAGCCTAGCCCACCTTAAATCTGCTTAGAGGACGAATAGTAGCCTACAGTTGAATAAAATCATCTAACACAAAGCCTATTTTATAATAAAGTGTTGAATATCTCATGTAATTTATTATGTGTATTGCTTTTGTACTATAATAAAGTCAAAAAATTATAAGTTGAATCATTGTAAGTGAGGGACTGCCTGACCTGAGAGTAACCCACTATGTTAGTTAACAATATAAAAAACTAAAAGGCAAACCACAGTAGAAAATATTACAAAAATTATTAAATATGATTAACATATCTAATGTATTAAAAGCTCATGTATACTGAAAAATAAAATAACACAACAGATAAATGAGAAACGAATACCAAAACTTTATTAAAAAATTAAAAATTTTAAACAAATTTGGTAAAAATATTATTAAATAAGTAATAACAGAATAAAATTAATATACTATTTGCACTGATATATTAATTAATGTAAGTTATTAACTTTCTTATAAGACTCCTTATTGCTAATAAGGACAATGGTTATTCTCTTTAATAACATATATGTACCAAAATAAAATGTCTTAATATAATTTATATGACAAAATATTTCACTATGCAGTGAATATAGTGATTCTTATTTACTTAATACTTAATTTGTTTCATTATTCGCTTTTTCCCAAAGCTGGTACCATTAGGTTTATGTTTTTCTTTAGCACCTCTTTATATGTGACTATAAAATGAATATATTAAACCAATTCCTCAGTTTTAAAGAAAATTAATGTTGATCTGAGAAGTTATTTCCATAATATATTACTTAATCAGTTTTATTTTCATGTAAATTTATATATAGAAATTCAATACACTGTCTCTAAGTTAACTTAGAACTTAACCCAGATAATTAGATATTTAGATTTAATTCTAAATTCATCTTTAGAATTTATTTTTTAAAATTCATTATGGTGACCATTGATTACTGAAATCCAATAACTTTCAAGTGTAAAATTTAACAGTAAGTCATATATATATTGCATTGTATGTTCACCATCCATAGATAGATTTCTTTGTCACCACGTATTTGACCCCTTTTACCCCTATCTACCTCCCCCGTCCCCCTTTCCTCTGTTAACCACTAGTCTACTGTCCATGTCCATGAGTCTCTGTTTGTTTGTTTGTCATGTTTACTTGTTACTTTTAGATTTATATCCCACATGTAAACGACATCATGTGGTTTTCAACTTTTTCTGCCTGGCTTATTTTGTTTAGCATGATTATCTCAAGGTCCATTTATGTTGTCGCAAATGGCAGCATTTCATCTCCTCCTCTTATGCCTGAATAATATTCCAATGTATATATGTACCACATCTTCTTTATGCAATCATCTATTTTAGGACACTTCAGTTGCTTCCATGTCCTGGCTACTGTGAATAATGCTGCTATGAACATCGGTGTGCACATATCTTTTCAGATATATGTTTTCAAGTCTTTAGAGTAAATATCCAGTGGAAGGATTGCTGGATCACATCGTACATCAATTCTTAATTTTTTAAGGAAATTCTATATTGATTTTCATAGTGGCTGTACCAATGTGCAGTTCCACCAGCAGTGTGGGACTTTTTCTCTGCATCCTCTCCAACATTTGTTATTCCTTGTCCTGTTGATTATAGCTATTCTAACAGGTGTGAGATGGTATCTCATTGTGGTTTTTATTTGCATTTCATTAATGATATTGAGTGATACTGACTAGTGATTTTGAGCATCTTTTCATATGGTTGTTGGCCATTTCTATGTCTTCTTGGGAGAAGTATCTGTTCAAATCCTCTGCCCATTTTTTAATTGGATTGTTTGTTTGTTTTTTGCTGTTATTGAGTTGTATGAGTTCTTTGTATATTTTGAATATTAGGTGTTGCTTGAAAATATATTCTTCCATTCAAATGGTTGCTTCTTTGCCTTATTGACTATTTCTTTTGCTGTGCAAAAACTTTTTACTTTTATATAGTCCAATTTATTTATTTTTGCATTTACTTCTCTTCCTTTTGAGGTCAAATTAATAAAATCCTCTTTAAGTCTGAGGTCCATGAGTTTAGTACCAATGTTTTCTTCTATGTGATTTATTATTTCAGGTCTTATATTCAGATCCTTAATCCATTTTAAGTTAATTTTGGTGTGTGGTGATAGACAAAAGTTTAATTTCATTCTTTTGCAGGTGGCTTTCCAGTTTTCTCAGCACCATTTATTGAAGAGGCTTTCCTTTCTTCTCTGTATGTTTTGTTGCAATTGCAAAAGGAATTTTATTTTCTCCACTTCTTTTTCTGACACTTCCTTATTAGAGTATAGGAATTCAATGGATTTTTGAATGTTGATTTTGTATCCAGAAACTACTATATTTGCTTACTGTTTCTAGTAGTGTTCTTGTGGAGTCTTTAGGGGTTTCTATATAGAGAATCATGTCATCCACAAATAGTGACAGTTTGACTTCTTCATTTCCTATTTGGATGCCTTTTATATCTTTCTCTTGCCTAATTGCACTCACTAGGACTTCCAATGTTACAATGAATAACAGTAGTGATAGTGGACAGCCTTCCCTTGTTCCTGATCTTAGATGGAAGGTTTTTAGTTTTTCATAATTAAGTATAATGTTGGCTGAGGGTTTGTCATGTATGGCCTTTATTATGTTAAGTTACTTTCCTTTTATACCGATTTTGTTAAGTGTTTTGATCATAAATGGATGCTGTATCTTGTTGAAGGCTTTTTCAACATCTATTGATATGATCATATAATTCTTATTTTTAATTTGTTCACGAGGTATATCACATTAATTGAGCCATCTGGTCCTGGACTTTTACTTTTTGGTAGATTTTTGATGATTATTTCAATTTCCATACTGTTGATCATTCTATTTAGATTTTCCAGTTCCTGATTCATTCAGGAAGGTTATATATTTCTAAGGACTTGTCCATTTCTTCTAGGTTATTAAATTTGGTGTTATATACTTTTTACAGTATTTTTGTATGATCTTTTCTATTTCTGTGGTATCTGTCATAATTTCTCCTCTTTATCTCTGATTTTGTTTATTTTTGTCCTTTCTCTTTTTCCTTTGGTGAGTCTAGGCAGGGGTTTGTCAATTTATAACACTCTTTGTTGCATTTATTTTTTTCTATCTTTTTTCGTTCTTAATTTCATTTAATTCTGCTCTAGTTTTGATTATTTCTTTCCTTTGGCTGATTTTAGGCTTCATTTATTCTTTCTTTTCTATTTTTTTTTTTTTTTTTAAGATGAAGTGTTAGGTTGTTTATTTGGGCTTGTTTTTTGAGATAGACCTCCTGTAATGACATGAACTTTCCTCTTATTACCGTTTTGCCGTGTCCCAAAAGTTTTGCTGTGTTTTACTATCATTATCACTCGTTTCTATGTATCTATTTTTTTCTTTCTATGTATCTCGATCTTTTTATTTCTTCTCTGACCCAGTCATTCTTCAGTAGCATATTATTTAATCTCCATGTGTTTGTGGTTCTTCCTGCTTTCTTTTTACAGTTGATCTCCAGCTTCAAAGCATTATGATCAGAGAATATGGTTGGTATGATTTCAATTCTTATATCTGT